ACAAGGGGGCATGTGCCCCCCAGATTTGTGTGCAGGGCAGGGTTGGGCTGCTGCTGCAGGCTGGGGCTCTGCAACCCACTGCCACTGCCGCCAGAGCTGCATGATGCCATGTACCTGCCGCCATCAGGCTGTGCCACGTTCCGTGCCTGCCCAGCAGTGGCAGTCACATGGTGTTGTGGGGCTCCCAGGGCAGCGGCAGTGGGGTGCAAAGGCCCAGCCCTCAGCAGCAGCCCTTCTCCATCCCATGCACAAATCCAGGGGCACATGCCCCCTTGCCTCCCCTGGGGTGTGTGCAGTGGCAAGAGTTGGCTCTGTTCGATGAGTTGCCCCCTCCTCAAGGCCCCATGTGCCCCAGGCTCTGACCCTGCCCCACTCCCTCCCTCACCATGGGAACTTCAATCTCCTCCCCGCTACACACACATCCAAGTCCCTTCCCCTTCACAGACTAAGACGTGCCTGCCATGCTGGGCAGTGATTCACACACCAGGCTGCAATCCTGGCTGCCTGTCTCAGTCTGTGCGTGCCCCTTTCCCTCCCCGCCCCACCCCACTGCAGCCGCCCAGAGCCTGTGCCTGGGCTGCCCTGCGGCCCTACCCACTGCCACCACTGTCCTGCATTTGTGGGGACTATACCCTGTTAGCCCCAGCCTTCTGTTGCAGAAACCCCCCACCCCAGAGCACAGCTGGTGAGGGACTCTCCCTCCCTACCCTCCTTCCCTTTGCCAGCCTCCTCAGAGCCCCAGAGTGGGCCAAGATGTGGCTATAAACAAGCCCAGCCTAGTTTCTATGGGAAACTGTACAATAGCAGTGGGGTGGAGGCAAAATGCAGGGGTGGCCTGGACCTTTGGTAGAGAGTCCAGCATCACAAACCAGCCCCAGGGCTTATGGAGACCCAGCCATAAATGATAGTCTCACATGGGGCTATAAGAGGACCTTATTTTTTACAGCAGACCCCAGCAGGTATAGATCCAGGGGAGGTGCAATGTTGCAGTTGCACCCCCTTTGCTTCCTGCTCCACCCGAAGATTACAACCAGTTGGTTTAGATATCACCCATCCTTTACTCACTCCCATATGACCCACACAGCCTGGATAGAAATGCCACTGCCCATCTCAGGCAGTTGGTTATAAAGTTTGGGTGGAGCAGGAATGAAAGGGGGTGCAACTGCACCACTGGACTCCCACTGGATCCACCCCTGCTTCTATTCCAGACCAGGGGAAAAAATCAGATTTCTTGCTTAAGACACACAGCTCCATTTGAGGTGACCTGATCTGAGGGGAGAAAGGATGTGTACACCAGAAAATATGGTAATAGCTTGGCCCTGGTTCTCATAAGAAACCCTGGCATAGCAAACCTGGTACTTATGGAAACTGTAACAGAACAACCTTTGACTCTCCACTCACAGACTGGCCCTCTGGTTTCCCAAGGGACTTAGCTGCTATAAAACAGCTCTCTGGTTTTAAGGGAGACCCTACAAAAACAAACCAGCCCTGGTTTTCCTGGGAAGCTCCATTGTAGTGCCCTGGCTAACTCTCTCACATGGGATATCTCCTCTCCTTCCTCTCCATCTTGCATGGGCTCAGGTTGGATACAAGTGATGGGGATGGAGCCTGGTGCCCAGCGGGACCAGTCTACCCCAACGATGCTGAGTTCCTGGAAGTTGACCTCCGGCGTCTGCACTTCCTGACGTTAGTGGGCACCCAGGGCCGCCACGCCGGTGGGCACGGCAAGGAGTTTGCCCGGGCCTACCGTCTCCATTACAGTCGCGACCGGCGCCGTTGGCTGGCCTGGCGTGACCGCTGGGGCAATG